AATTTTTGAGTTCCAGTTCAAGCTTTTTTTTCGGTCCCCTTACAGTATATATAGCATTTGTTTCTCCCTACCTTCATTGAATCTAGAAAATAACCAACCAGTAGCTATGAATGAAACACATCATTATCATAGATCTTTGTTATGTCTGGTCTTATTAGGGGATATATATATATATATTTAAAAAAACTTCCTAATCATCAGAAAGTTGGAAGTAAAATAAATGAACAGTAATTACTGTGGTTCTAAAAGGTTCTGTGTTCCTATGACTGTTGCTAAATACAATAACCAGTTTGAAATTCTTGACTAGCAGAAAATGGAAAGGCACAAGGGCAAGTTTGAAAACCCACTTGAGTGTCTTAGAAAAAGGGAGGTACTGTGAAAGGAGAAGACTCGGAGGATGTCACAGTTGTGGCAAAGGCTAGACCTTGTGGGATTAAAACAGATACTTAAAGAACACAATTTAGCAAAGACGATCTGGATTGCAGTTTTCTCAGGCTTCTTGAGCATGTCTTCATGTGGACTTGGCATAGACTGAGGAATAACACGGGGTGCTCAAACAGTGTAGCACAGATAATGGGGTGCATCCCTCCACTGTATTAAGAAATGTGATTGATTTCAATGTGGCCATTGACAAATAGGTCGTTTTGAACATGAATTTGACAACTTGGTTCTGTTGAAAAGATAACTCAGTGGCAAGCCTGTGACCTATTTCTCAGTCACTATCATTTTGGACTATTCTCTTATTTGGTCTTCCTTCTAGATAAAAATAGTCTTACATAAAGTTTATTGCATGTTGACTCTGATTCTTGTCAATCTTCTGCCACAGGGTTTCTGTCTATAATTTTTCATGGAATCATCGTAAGTAACCTGAGAACTATCTTCCGATCCTCAAACTTACAAAAAAGCACCAGATTTCTGCTCTCATTGGATTACATTCTCTTCTAACTGAACATCAGCCATAACAATATGTTTTGTATGTATCTTGAATATCATTATGATTGCAGACATTATAACTTGTCCTATTTTGTAGGCAAAAGAGTTGAGCAGGTAGTTTTCTAATTTTTGATGTAAATTTTCCATCACAAAGAACCATCCACTTTGTATAGATAAGTAAACAGAGCTGTTTTCCCAGACCAAATGTTGTTTGGCCACTTTTCAATTTGGACACTGCTGTTTTGGCCATGTCTCATTTGCTTGTGAACGCAGGAGTGCTGGTCTCTCTGAACTAACAATGGTAAGTTGTATTGAGACTACAACTAGAGATCGGTATATTTTAAACTAGTATGCTCCAAAATAGAAGGTAAAAGTATTAGGCTTGGTACTGGGTGCTTTAGAAACCATCTTGTTGAACTACTTCATCTCCTGAATGTTTTTGGGCAAGACAATGGAGAAGGTCATTGCCCAAGATCAATACCAGTAACCAGTACCAGAATCAGTACCAGAAACCAGGGGTCCTGATTCCAGGGCAAGAGTTCCTGCATTTTTATTCTACTTTGCTTTTCTTATGGTCTTAATTTGGTTATTCATAACAAAGTGAATTGCTATATTTCTAAAGCCTTAAGCAGGAACCCTAATACTGTAAACACCAAAGGTAGATGCCATAGTTTGAGATTCCTAGGTAAGATGAATCCCCTCTGACGTCATTTTCCTCAGTGGTATAAGCATGACTAAGAAACCCAAACTCCAGTGAAATAGGTCCCATCAGCCTTATTCATGCAACCTACCCAGATTGAGCTCAGTGGGTCACAACAAATGGCTTGAGAGTCAGCGTGGTCATAACTGGGGAAAGGGAGCAGGTAGGATTTTAAGAGAGAGCAATGAGAGGAATCTAGTAAAAATACATTGTATACATGTATGAAATAATTGCAAAGAAAAACTGAAATACTCTTTATAATTTCAAAATCTCAGGTACTCCCCCATACCCATTATTCTAGTGATAGGTATTTTGAATTTTCTTCTGTCTTCTGCTTCCCTGCTAACTTGCCATTTTTTTTAAGACAGTGGATGGCTGTCAAAGATTGATCCCATTTTCTTCAACTTAGGCCAGTGTCCAAGTCTCCTTTGTCTCCCCAGGCCTGTTGTTTTCCCAGGATGGGGCTTGCTGGGGACTAATGGATCTCATCTCAGCATGTCGCTTGGTTCACCTCTTAGAGAAAACAATAGCAGCCAATGAGAAAAGCTCTAGTAAGATGTAGACTTGAGCTATTAGTGCAGTGCTATTGAGAGACTTCTGTTTTCACAACCTTTCAAAATGCAAGCACTAGAGGCTCAAGGGCCAGATGGAGAGGAACCACAACAGACAGCCTTTGGGAAAGGAATTTTAAGGGGAAGATACCATAATTTATAATTTTCCTTCTAATCAGAAAGCAGTTTTCCTACTACAAATATTGACTATGATGCCATTGGGTATGTTGTCCATACATAAAGCAAAGAAAGAATAAATAAAACCAGGAGAAATGCGTTCACATATGGTATATTTCTGGAAAATTCTTATTTCAAACAGATGGCCTGCAAAATATTCCACAAGATTGCAAAGTCTGCAGAAAGGAAGGATTTCGTTTGTTTGTTTGTTGCTGTATCCACTGTTGTATCCTATAGTAATTCCTGGCACATAACGGATAATAAATAGAGCTGGAATGACTCTTCATGATTAAAGGGTCTTTCTAAAGGATTCCAGTTGAGGACCATCCCAAAGAGGGACTTGGATACATTTGTGTCAAATAAAATTTTAAATTAATTTCTTTTCTTCTAATCAATCTCTCTCTCTCTCTTCCCTTTCCCCCATGTTCGTTGGTCACTTGCAATGACTGGCCACCTGTCTGATTGCTGTACCGGTAACGTCTTCATGGATCATCATTGAATACTGCACCTCTGGCTGTCTGAACACCCAGGTAAGGCAATGAGCTCTTTAAAACCCCAGCATTGCAATCAAGTAGGAAAATATTAACAAGTAGGAAGGAAGTTTGCCTAGAAGTAAAAAAAAGATACTCTGAAGAGAGAATAGCGTCCTGATTAAAGTTAAATTTAGCCCAACCCTGATACAAATCAATAAATCAATGGAAATATTTGCATCAATTGAGGATTTCCATTAGGATAGTATAGTAAGATTAGGGTTTTATAAACTACTGTATATTTTGCTTTGGAATTTACTGGCACTAAAAAATCAACACAAGATTTCTTAGTTTCATTTTTTTTCTCATTGCTGTTTTGAATGGGGTTTTTGTTTGTATTTGTATCTAAAGTTGTGTTTTCTTTTGTTCACCAGACCAAGTGTGGTACACGGGCTGCTAAGCTGTCTTCAGTGTATAAGGATTTTATGTCGTGAGGCAGAATAGTATACTCTAAATTTCTTCTTTTAGTGGCTGAAGTGGAAGAGAATACATTGGGCTTTGAATATCGAGCTAATTTGTAGGGGTATCTTGTTAAAAGATTTAGTGTCCAAACTCACAAGGCCTATCTTGTTAGTGTCTCATAACACTTGTTTCCTCAGCAGTCTAACAATGGAGAAGCAGGGAAGTGAGGTCTAAGCATACCAAAGACTAATGGTTTGTTCAAAAGCCATATACTGTTTCCCAAGTGATGATACAAACATGGCTCTGCTCCTGGCTATGCTATTAAAAAGATATTCTTCTCTCACTCCAGAAGCGTGCACATATTTTTAATATAAAAATGTCTCCTTTTTCTATCAAAAGACATTTCTCCCATAGCAACTCACAGTCCCCTATAACCTTTTTGTGCACAAAAAGTGTACAAAATTATAATGGCCCTTGTTCTGTCTAATTAACATAAAAAAACTAACTGAGTCTCAAACTGGCCTGAGCACAATTTCGGAGATGCTGGTAGCTTCCCAAAGAGGGTAAGAGGCAGACAGATATGCTATGCAGAGAGAGCTTGGGTATAGAGTTTATTTAATGGGTAAGGGGATTACGGGAGAGAGAGAGAGAGAGAGAGAGAGAGAGAGAGAGAGAGAGAGAGAGAGGAGGCTGGAGATCAGCTGGGGAAGGGGGAAGATTTGGAGTGAGCAGAGCTTGTCTCTTTAAAGGACAGGGTACCCAGGTAACAGAGAAGATCAGCAAAATAATAACACTGTTCATATGAGAAGTTCACACACGTGAGATCGCTCAGTGGTCAAGGAACTTGTGATCAAGCCTAAAGACCTATGTTTAATCCCCTGAGCCTAAGACTCTTGCAAATTGTCTTCTGACCTCTGTACACAAACAATGGTGCATACATGTGTTTGTGCATGCACACATAAATGCAAAAAAATTAAAATAAGTTCACACTGTAGAGTTAATGTTTTGTGAATCCTAAGACCTGTGTTATGAGAAAGATCTAAGCAAGTTTTATAAATCAGGAGATATTAGTTACTTACTTTAATGGATGTCTTCTGTTTTGGTAACAGTCACTACAGAAATGAGTTATTCTGTGTGTGTGTGTGTGTGTGTGTGTGTGTGTGTGCGCGCGTGTGTCTATCTGTCTGTGTGCACATGCATGCTTTGAATTTTCATCTCATTTAAGAGTATAATCAAAGTCTAAAAGTTCATTTTATCTCTTTTTTTCTGTGTTCATATATTCCCAATGATGTGAAAAATCTCTTCTCAGTCCTTTCATTGAAGTGTTTCCATTTCTTCCATGCTACAGGGTTAAACTTGGTCTGGGTTTGAGTTTCTTGACTTTTGTCTTTGCTTAGTTTGCCACTACCCCTTGAGAAAGAGAATGAAGTTAGCATGAGTGGTAGATCCATCATTCCCTGCCCACAGCAATCCAGAGGATTCGTTCTCACTGCTGCCCTGCTCCTTTCAGCCTTGAGATTTGGGACGTCCCCATTTGCTGGAGATGAGCTAATGGAGAATGAAATGGAAAAGCTACCCATGAACTATTTCCTCACAGTTTGGGAAACTGTAAAAATATGATACCCCAGCACAATGGATATTTCTATTGTTTTAACTCTTCTCTTGGCAAGCTCTTGCTATCGACTGGTTTTACTGTTCCTTTAACAGGTGGAGGATTTTTCAGATTCTAGATGCATCTAGGTAAGTAACAATGTATTTTAGTTTAACTGAGCCTGAGAAAGCTAGAAAATAAATAGACTGTAATGGTCTGCCAGCTTAATTGCAACACAAGAGAGTTAATTTATCACAGATACTTGTTTGAGTTTAAAGTGGCACGTAGTCTCAGGTCTAATGGCAGATCCCACTGGGAAGTGGGGTGACGATTTAGCTTTCCCCTCCACTCCCAAGAGTTAGACTGAAACTGGGTGGCACGGAAGAGTGTCTGGCTAAGAAGATCTCCACCATCAACAAAGTCCTTACTTGTCCTAGGGTTGATAGTACTTTACAGAGCAGTCGGACCAACATTGCCTATGGTGTTACATGTCTACAGAACAATTGGACCAACATGCCTATGGGGTTCTTCTACCTTGTAACCATCGGCAGTAGGCCTTGGTCACATGAATCCTGCTGGAGAACAAATCTAGCCAAACACAAGAACGTTACTTTCCGTGGGGAAGAAGGAGCAATGAAAACGCCCCAGAAAGGTCCTGACTGTTGCACTGGGCTGTATCGTATTGTTGCCAGTGCTGACAGGCTAATGAGAATGATAAGCCTTTTTTTAATGGCCTCCTCTATTTACTTGGCATTTTTCTTCTAAAGTTGTGATGTTCACCAGTTTTGTATTTGGCTTATTTTAGGTTTATTGGATCTAGAAATATTTACCAGTGCCTCGGTTTTCTCTGCCTTCCTACCTCTACCTCACTTAGACTAAAGAAATCAGAGTGAGCAGGTGATGAGCTTGGCATTCCTCCACTAGGAGAGGCTCCTGTGAAAATAGATGACTAGTTCATTTTCAGGGGCTTGGCTTCCATATTAATCTCAGGATCCTGTAGATCTATCTAACAACTGAGAAGAAGAAAGTCGTTTGATGCTATAGTCAGTTTCTAATTCTTTGAAAGAAAAGGCATACACAGACATCAACACTTCATCCCACATTACGGTGGGAGGGTATTTTAAAGATCCCAGATTGGATGTATGTCCAAGAATGTTACATATTGCTACTATCTAGAACAGTGACTTTGAGCAAGTTCCATTTCCATGATGAGCTTTGATTTGCTCACGTATGAATAATCTTTTTGGATGATTATTAGGAGAGTGGTCAATGAGGTGGGGACTAGTTTTCTCCTAATTACTTTTACAGAAATGGTGATAGTTATCCCTCCCTTTCTGCTCTACGAGCTACACGGCAGCACTATTCAGACCTGCTCTTATTTAACTCCGTGCTGCGCGGTGGGGGCAAAAGCTGTCAGAGCTACTCTCCACCGTCTCAGTGAGAGAGATGAGGAGCACAGGTGGTGAAATGGGAAAGAAGCAGCTTTTGGTCAATATTGATTGGGCCACTTTGAATTCTGGTGGACTGAATGGATAATGGATGGAAACTGTTTGCAGGGCTAGCATATTTTTTTTCAGACACTAAAAAAAGTAATGAAGCAACAATTCATTTGGTAGTCCTCATTGTATATTCAGTTTCATAAATGTACAAGATTATGATTATCAGCCTCATAATTAACAATTTGCCTAAGCACTTGCTATTATTTGGCTGGCTGAATGGATTTTTGTAATCCAGAGGAAGAAGTGAATAATCAGTGCAAGCCCCCCCAAATGCCTAGTATTATTGCTACACACATGCACAATTAGCAGTGATACTAATTGCTTTAGACCAGAACCTCATTTGGTTTTCTATAGGCAGCAAAACATTAATTGCTCGAGTTTTTGTCCCTCATTCACTTACACGTTGTCTCTCGTTCTCCCTGATAACCGATTGAACCTGCTAAGATCTTTGTCGGGTCAAAGGTAAATTAGTTGGTTGGATTTCCAGTGTATCCTTTTGTGTGGAGTTGCCCAGCTTCTATTTGCGTTAGCAGTCAATGTCTTGACCAGCCACGGGTTTGTCTTTATGCCGTTTTAAGGAATAAAAGGATGATGGTGTGCCAACCAGTTCTGCTGCTGCCCTTCATTCTCCTCCCAGTCTCCTGTCTTTAACGTTATTGTCACCGAATCTGCATGCAGGAATTGTTAAAATTCGAGGTTGGAAGAAGCCTTTTTAAGAGCATATTGCCAAATTTCCCTCAGTTACCTGATGCCTTTGATTATTACTAATCTGAATCTGAAAAACCACCACCTAATCAATGATGCCACACTTTAGAACCAATTCAAACCATTGGGAACTATTGTAGCGAGCACATTTGAATGCTGACAGGTTGGTTTGCAGTCACATAGATTGGAGGAATTTTTTTTAAAAGCTGCCAAAATAGAATTATTTGAAGATGTCTTCTTAAGGTTTACCTAAATATACCCCAAAAGTTGATGATGTATGTTTAAAAGGAGATACTTAGTGGAAAGAACCTGATAGATGCTAAGGCATACTGCATCAGTACCAACTCCCTTTTCCTCAAGCATAGCTATCTAACATGAGTGTGGAGGTATTAACTTTAGTGGCTGATAGTAGGGACCTTCAGCTTCAAATAGAACTCGAGTCCCATACTAGCCACTCCCATGGTCTCACTGTGTGACCTTGCATAATTTATTTAGCCTTTGTTGACTCGAGTTATCTCAAATGCAATATGTAGCAACTTTTTAGAGCTCTGATGCGGAAGAAAGTGAAGCCATGCCCAGAAATAATATGCGTGGATTCCGGCACCCCGGGAAGAGTCAATGTGCAACAGTGGTTGTTAGTTTCACTGGCTGGGGTACCCAGTGCCAACCTTATTTTTTATTAATGGTTAATCTCCTGGCGTTTCGTGATCCTTGCCCACATCCACATGTGTCTGGTCTCCCACCCAGTCCACAGGAACCACAATGGGAAGACTGATTTTCCCAAAAGCTACTTGTGACCACCATTTGTCAGAATTTGATGGCTGCTTCTTAGCTCCAGTCATCCTGGGTATCTGAAGATTCCTACACCAGTCCATACCTTCTTTTGCTGCAAAGTGTTCACTGTTTCTCTTTGGCAGGCACACACACACACACACACACACACACACACACACTATACACTAGTGTGCACATACATTTGTTCCCTTTTCACCCCTTTAAATGTTGCAACTCCTGTGTTCATATCATTGCTTTGCGTTTTCTCTCTTGATATGTTGACTCCTTGGGTAATTTCATCTCTTCACGTAGTTTCACCTTTAACCCCTACACTAATGATTCCCAAACTGACGTCACCAATCCTTAATTCACTCCGGAGCTCTGGGCTAACTCCAATTTTCAAATGCCTGCTGAGAATCTCCAGGGCAGGATATCCTAGGGGGCTGAAAGTATAGTCTGGCTTTTGTCATTGCCTTAGGAAAGCAGATGGAAGCTTCAGAAGTATTAAGAATTGACAAAAAGGAGCAAGGGTGAAATATTAGCCTAAGCAGAAATAAAGAAGGTCGAAGTTAGCAAATTGACACAAACCAGGCTTTCAGGGAAAGCATGATGGGCAAACGGAATCTCTGTTTTTATGAATCGGAGATGTCAATGCCAACTGGGTCCTTAAAAGTTGTGTGATTTCTAGGGAAAAGGGAACAGCTTTCCTGATATAAATTGAGGTGCTGGATGATTGGCATGTTTTGATGGAATGTTAATTAAAATCATCTTTCTTGGGAAACAAACGCTTATTATTTCAGTGTTTTGTTATAAAAATGCACATGCCGAAGGGAAGAGTATTTTGACACTGTGTGCATAGATGTACAGACATACTTATAGGCTGCGTTAGGGGTGTCTGAGATGTGAGGCAAGATTTTAAAATATAGCCCAGGCTGGCCTGGAATACTCACTTCTGTGGCCTCAAGACAATTCAGAACTTGTAGTGATCATTGAGGCTCAGTCTCGTGAGTTTGTCAGTATGAACTACCAAGACAAGCTGCAAATAATTCTTTCAAGAGGTATAAAGATTTTTTTTTCATTCATTCTGCAAACATTTATGGAAAATGCCAGGATCTCTGTGGAGAAATGAGATTGTGAATACCATACCTCTAAATTCTCTGGCCTTAGATGCCTGATACATTTTCCTTTAGTTATTTGCAGATACATTGCGACGGTAACTTTGCTGACAGTCTTAATGAGCAGAGAAACTTAAGGGAAATAAGGCAGATCCAAAGTGGGCAAAGGATGTGCATAAATTCGAATTACAGATTGATTGCTTCCTTTAAATTTCGTAAATATTGAGTTGCTTTGGGGTTTTACATTCCAAGTGGGCTCATCAGTGTTTCAGGCCAGATGAATGATTGTGTCTAACCCTAAAATTTAATTAGAGCAAAGGGATAGACAAATCTTGGTTAATGTGTGTGCTGCCATTAGGAGACCTGGCTATAAACAAACTCCTCCCATGGAAACTATGGTCTCAGCACTGCTATGGTTAGTAGAGAATAATATCACTTTTTTGGATGGGTGATTCTACTCTGCAGTCCCAAGGTACTTCCTGTGTTATGTGGTACCCGTAGGCCAGCTTCGCTTCCAAATACATTGAGAGTTTTGCCCTCACAATTGAACGTCACGTTTCCTTTTAGAGCTCTGCATGGCTATGGATTCGCAGGTCTCAATTCGAAGTGCTCTTGTCCTAGCTCTCTACGCCAAAGTCTACTTTGTAGCCCTTTTCAGACCCCAAGCTCCAATCCCTGATTGAAATACTGCAGCTGAGAGCTGTTCTGGCTATCTCACAATCCCTGCCTGTAGTTTATTCTACTATGCTCTTCAGATATTACATGCCATAGCAACTCGCGTAGTAACCCTATATAGAAATTCCCCATGTTCCTTTTTCCTTGGCCTTCAATGAATTTAGAAACACTGCTGAATCAGACACATTATTTTATTCTCTCCGGGTGTCAGAACATTAAAAACCAGCTCCTGAATGTAGCCTTTAATAACGTTTCCTCACAGATCTAATCATCCCCATCTAGCTTCTTACATCTTTCTCAGATTTGTTCATTCACTGTATGTGTATAGAGCACTTCGCATCCTCTGAGATACACAAGCTTGCCCCCTGTCCTTGTGTTTCT